ATATATATATATGTTAACATTAGGAAATAGCAGTTGGGACGTTATGTTTGTTAGGATTTAAGAACTCTATTAGATGCGGAAACAGAAGTCCTAAAAGTTGGATCCCACCAAAATCGTGTACTTATCCAGATAGAAACAAAATAGGAGAGAGCACAAACCATAATATGATAAATAAAACATGGAATATACATACTACAAAAACACAAAGATTTATGTGGTTCCACCAAAGGGGACTACATTCACGGACAAGTTGAAATCCAATATATCAATGAAACTTAGATCATAGATTTTGGGACATAGAGTTACTTCTCTAACTTTCGACAAAATCTAGTCGAACAAATCCTTTTAGACCTGCTCTCTCGATTGGCATGATCCACCCAATATCTGATATCTATTTTACAACTAAACCATTGAAAGAGACTCATATCTATTCCAAAGCTAAACCGTTGTCTAGGAATAAACCCTTAAGACCAACTGAGACTCTCTAACTAAAAGGGAAAACCATCAAAAATCTTTATTGGAACTACTTTTCTACAAGAAACCATCCTTTCAATCTACATGAGGAACATGTATGGCATTTTTTTCTTCTAAAGCTCTGTTATCTCTGAAGGAGAGAAATTGCCTATCATTCACAAGAAAGGGGAAACGTCAAAAAATTTTCATGAGAACAACTTCTCTACAAGAAACCAACATCTGAATCTATAGGAGCTAGTATTTCTCTCCAGTGCTCTATTATCTCTGAAGGGGAGACCTTGCCTCTCATACATAGGAGGCCCTTGCCTCTCTCTTTGTAGAGGAAGTCACATTTCGTGACCCAAATAGGACAGGCATAATATTTCATCTTTCATCCCATATATAAAAGATTATAACTCCTTAAGGCCCTTGCCTCTCTCTTTGTAGAGGAAGTCACATTTCGTGACCCAAATATGACACACATAATATTTCATCTTTCATCCCATATATAAAAGATTAGAACTCCCTACTAATTAGAAAACTTTCTATAGATGTTACATATATCTCAAAACCAAGAGATATACCCTAATCTCATGTAGTATAGGATTTCCTAATGCGGGTGATTTTGGATATCACCATATCAATGTTGAGGCATGTGCTCCAATGCCCCAACCCCATTCTAGCATTTGAATGACACCTCAACAAAAGCTTTTCTCAAAAGCCAATCTCAACTATAATTATTAAGACCAGACAAAATCGATGATCCGATCGATCAAACTACATACAGATACCTCATCCAGCCTGACCTAAGATAAAAACCAAATTTGTTTTAAAAACGATCAAACAAAAAACAATCAAAACTAATGTTTGATTGGACCAGGTAAATGAAGTGGGAGAAATTTATTCATATATATCATATTTTAAAACATCATAATATCTATTTTTTTTTTTTCTAAAATCTAATCTAACTAATAATTGAACTATTTTTTAAAGAGGCCACACCGCTGAGAGATTCAATCGTGGGCCTAGTAATAATAACATTGTTCTCCAACAGTCACAGATACCCTACGCCTTTGTTTTTAACTTTTTATTTTTTCTTTACTTTAAATGTGCCCTCTGCTTTAATATATGAAGAGATAGAAAGAGAGAGCGTTAATTGGTGGTCCAATCAAACGCGTTTGATGAGAGAGAAAAAGAGGGGAGGGAGTATGTCCGTACGCAGCCGGGTGACTTTGGGTCTTCCAAATGATTCCTGCCTCCCCGCGGTTTTCCTTCACCTCTAAGTTTCTCCCTCCCTATAAACTGCCATTATATCATCAACTCTCTCTCTCATTAATTCCTTCAAACTTCCCAATGAAGTCCTTTCTCTCTCTCTAACTCCTTCAAACTTCCCCTTTCTCTCTCTAACTCCTTCAAACTTCCCACTGAAGTCCTTTCTCTCTCTCTAACTCCTTCAAACTTCCCACTGAAGTCCTTTCTCTCTCTCAATTCCATAAACCGTGGTCTCTCTCTCTTAACTTCCTAAAGAAGCCACTCTCTTTCGCTGTAAACTCCTTAAACCACAGTTTCTCTCTCTAGCCTTTTAAATGGAAGCCTTCTCACTCTCCCATTGAACTCCTCAAACCCCTCTCTCTCTCTCTCTCAAGAAACTCTCTTCCTTTATACCTAAAATCCTCCCACCCTCTGTCTCTCTCTACTTCTTCATATTGAAGTTTTCTCTCTCTAAAGTTCCACTCCTCTCTCTCTCTCTCTCTCTATCACAGTCTCAAGTTCCAAATTTCTCAAAGAAGAAAGAGGATAAAAGCATTACACTGGTTCATACGAAAACTGATTTTTAAATCGCATTTGCTTCTTCTCAAACCGATAATCCACCATGGCTAAAACACCAGAAAGTGAGCACATTGAAGAGATAAGGACTAAAAAATTCTCAATAGGGAGAGAGCCCAATCCTCTCACTGAAGACCTTCATCATGCGGTCAGGAATTTGTCAGCAGAGCTCTACTCCAAGGACATTCACTTTCTGATGGAACTTATTCAGGTAAATTTCCATTTTTGTTCCTTGCTAAGAAAAAAAAAGGTATACTACTTGCTTTTTTGGAATTTTTTTAAGAGGAATTTGAAGCATTTTTAGAGGAGATTAATCGGAAAGGTGTTTGTAGTTCTTAATTATGAAATTAGTGAATTGTGGGGGTTATAAAACGAACATGAGTGAGGTATGATTTTAGTGGATTTATTGGTGATCAACATTTTAATTTTTCTTATAACTACGGTAGAAAAATATCGAGTGTATTTTAACATTAAAAAATTGAAAACGCCTCATTTGAATATTGGGGTGCGGTTTGCGTGGAGCCTAGGCTTTAGACGATCAGATTCGAGCGTACCTTCGAATAATGTCAAAAAATGTGATTTTAATAGTAAAAATATTTTTTTATTAAAGCTTTAAAATATATTCTCATCTTTATTTATAGAGGAATGATATTATTAGTCCCTCTCATATTCGTGTTTACAAGATCTCAAAAAGATCACTATTAAATTTAGTACGGATTTTTTTAAAAAATTATCTTGTTTAGAACGTGATTTTTATAGAGATATGTGTTAAATTTAATGGTGACTCTTTGAATCCTATAACTTTGAGTGTGAGAGGGTCATATAAGATCATTATTCTTATTTATAAACTTGAAAGCATAAAAAATAGTGTAGATCCAGAGATTTATGAAAATTAAAAATTTTTGAAAATTGAGTCAAAAAATGCAATACAAAATATATTATTTTCAAAACTTAATATATTATTTCCAAAACTTAAAATCCACTTTTTTTTTATGCGTATACATCTTGATGTCGAGATGATCAATTTGATGATAATTGAGCATCAAAGCAACCTCTTCCATTGAAATTTTAAGGTAGATTTTAATTTAATTGTCTAGAGCCTCGCCTCCGTATAAACTTTTTCCTATTATTGCATCTTTTGTAAGAGATGACATGTGCCTCGGCTCAAAAAGTGAGTTCTGGATTTGTACTTGGACCCACTGGGCCAATGACTAGCGTAGGTCGTGGCCTGGGTTGATCATGACGTTTGCCAGTGTCCATAGCCCATAAGGCGGTTCCTGAGTTGGAGTGTTGGAGTAGGCCAGCCCATTACGTAATTGGGTCGGGCTTGCACTTGGTTTAATTTGTTCTGGGCCCAAAATTAGCCAATTATTTTCCCTTCCTTTTTAGGAAAAAAAAAGAAAATAGATCCAAGCAAAGTTTATAACATGTTCCACCTTAATTGGGTGAAAGAACTAATTCCTAATATCTCACTAGAAAGAGGTTTCGTAAATTTCTGCATGAGAAGGCGTAGTTTTATAAATTTATGCAAGAGTGCTATGATCTAGTGTTACGGAACTTGTCTGGAGTCTCTTGACAAAGTGATTCGGCCCTCGGCTGAGGCGAGTTATTTGATCTCGTTTAGATGGACCTAATTGAGTTTGGTGTAAAAGCCAAACGACCTAGATAATTTAAAAAAAAGTTAGAAAAATTGAAAAAATAAAATGAAGCTACGAAAAGTCAATAAAAACCTATAAAAACTCCAAATAAGTTTAAAAAACTATATAAAAAAAAATGGATTTGAAAAAATTGATTTATAGTTGGGGACATTTAAAAATTCTAAAAAAAAAATTATAAAAAATAGGAATTATGCCAAAAACACTCGCCAATCTATACCAAAAAGTCCAAATGATGTATAAAATAATCCATAAAACAATTCCATATTTTTTTGCAATTTTTTTGGATTTTTTGAAATTTTGTTAAGTACCCTGAGTTGCGCACAAAAATCGGGGTAAGCCGTGCTGAGTCAGTTGCCCGAGTCTGAGTGAAGACGGGCGAGTTGCCATGATCTATAGGACAGTAGGAAATCTAGGGTCCTAATTGTCTATCATCACCCATTGCATGCTTTCTGATGGAGAGTTTGGCATCCATCTGTAATCTGATGGTTGGTGCCGGTCTTCTTTGTCGTCCACCCATCGATTGGATGATGATGACACTTTGGACCAATTTTCTACGGTCTTGGAGATCATAGTGCACTGGCTCTGCTGTGTAAGTTCTTTTGAATCGATTAAAAATGTATTGTTTTATTTAAATATATATATTTCTAGGACATCTTGCTCGTGGTAGTCTTTCTCATTTTTGCTTTTTAAATGTTGAGGTATGCACTTGCTTTTTTGCTAAATTAATTTTCTCTACTACCCGTTCTTACCTTTAATTAAGGGAAAAGTTTGTAAAAGGTTGCAATCTTAAAATGTAGAACTACAATTACACCTCAAAAATTCTTCAGTAAAGGTTGTGTTAATGTTGAAAAGCCCTCTAATTGATCATCTTGACATCGAGATTTATGATCATAAAAAAAAAAAAGGATTTTGAGTTCCAGAAATGGGTGCATCTTACGACACATTATCTAGACCGTCCATTTTCAAGAGTTTCATATGTTTATAGATCTACTTGATTTTAATCATTTTTTGAGTTTAAAATTTTATAATTAGTTTTGAAAATAGATTTTGAGATAATTTTTAGAATATTTTATATTAAAATTATACCTTATGATAAAATTTGAAGGTGCGCCTTAAATGAATTGTTTAAGGTTGCAACTTTATGGAAACCACACCCTTTAATTAATGATTCATTTTTTTTAAAAATACAGAATGCAGAAAATATATTGATTCATTTGAAATCTGATTTAGCCTCGATTGTTTTATTTAGGAATGGGGTTTGGGCTTGATACGTAAGTGGTTAATGATTGCAGCAATACATCCAAGTTCGATGCCCATCACTTAACTCCCAAATAAATTGCCAAAGTTATAGCCTAAATATAACTAATTTAATTAGTAGAAATAGGGCGCCACACATTTCAATGCCAAACTATGAGAAGAAAAAAAAAAAAAACTAATTTAAACAGGAAAAAGAACGTAAAATTCATGATTTAGTCCTATCCAAAGGAAAATTATCCACCTTTAGGCTGCCAACGGGCTACACGATGGTTCGGTGGGCCTCGCAGGACTTTTCTAGCATGTCCTGAGCAAGCTCGGGCCAGCCTCGTAGGACTTTTCCAGCATGTCCTGGGCAAGCTCAGGCCGGCCACGCAGGACTTTCCAGCATGTCCTGGGCAAGCTCGAGCTTTAGAGAAGAAACAAACAAAAAAGAAAGAGACAACCAACCACAACACGCTTGGGCGTGAACCAAGTGTTGAAACGAAAAGCATTCTACAAAAACTAGAAAGAAGAAACAAACACAAAAGAAAGAGACAACCAACTACAACGCAACGAAAAGTAATCTACGAAAACTAGAAAGAAGAAACAAACACAAAAGACTAAAAAAAAGAAACAAATACAAAAAAAAGAGACAACCAACGCAACGAAAAGTAATCCTCGAAAACTAGAAAGAAGAAACAAACACAAAAAAAAGAGACAATCAACCACAATGCAATGATATACGTGGTTCGGCAACATACCTAGGTCCACGAGAGATGAGAACTTTTTTATTGACAATGGAGAATAGAATTACAAAAAACTCTTTTCGTCACGCTTCTCTGATTACATAGCAATCTCCTCTCTGATTACATAGCAACCTGCGATTTTCCTATCGAAACAATATATATCGAGTTTCAAATAGATGATACAAATTACCGAAATACTTTTATACGGATATATATTAAGTTTTAGATATATTCCTTCAGGCATCAAGCTCTTCGGGCTTTTAACGGTCTTCCAGAGTTGTCTTTTTTACTCCACCTTGACAGATCTATTTCCTCAAAATACAATACATCAATCCTCAATACCAAGCCCTACCTGTGGGCCACATGCAGCTGCTTAGGCCTAGCTGGTACTCGAGGCCAAGCCATAAGGCCCCTACCCACCCCAGTCTAGTGTCAACCAAAAATATTTAGGGCTGCCGGCTGGGCCTAGCTCAAGCTTGTATAATTAGTTAGTCTTCAATAATTTAAGCTAGGGCCATGAGCCCATGCCGGGAACCAAACGCTTTAAGCTAGGGTTAAGCCCATGCTTAATCATTTGAGCTAGAGCCAGGTCTCAACCCTAATCATTTGAGCTAGATCCTGACCCAAGCCTGAACCCTGCCCATTAACCTTTTGGGCTGACTGGGCTTGACTTGAACTGGCCCTGGCTTGATGGGGCATGGGCCAGTGTATTGGTATTCAAGCGGTATGGCTGATCCTTTTGTCTTGTGAGTGGTACGTGGATGTCATTTACCCAAAAAATAAGTAAATAACGGATTGTGTATATCCTGGGTGTCTATCAAAAAGCATTTCTCACCATACGAGTATCATATGTTTCCCAAAATAGGATTAATATCGCCACATCAGGATTACATTCTTTTGGGTGCGGTTTGTATAGAGCCTAGGCTATAAACAAACAAACTTGAGCTTACCTTCAAATGGTATCGAAAAATGTGGTTTCAATACTGGAAATTTTTGTGATAGCCGTAAAATATATCTATATATTTATTTATAAAGTTTAAAGCTTCAAAACTAGTGTAGATCGATTGATCTATGAAAACTTGAAAATTGACGGTCAAAAAATGTGTTACAAAATACATTATTTCCAAAATTCGAAATCTATTTTTCTTATGTCCATGCATCTAGATGTTGAGATGATCAATTTGAAGATATTTGAGCATCAAAACAATCTCTTCTAATTAAATTTTTGAGGTGGGCTCAAATTTGATTGTTTAGAGCCTCGGCTTTATATAAACTTTTCCCTTTTCTTTTTTTGTATATAACTAGGAATTACAGCAGAAAAATTTTTGAGGTGGGCTGAAATTTGAGTGTTTAGAGCTTCGCCTCTGTATAAACTTTTCCCTTTTCTTTTTTGGTATAGAAGTTGGAATTACATACTCTGCCCATTTTGGAAAACTTTAAGGGAAAACTTTAAGTTTTTTTTAAGGCGTTAGTGAGAACGGAGACAATAACTTTTGATTGGTGCTCAGGTGTACTACTACCAAGGTTGTAGCCTCATTCTCAATATCGCGACATTAAGGTTAAAAATTCAGATATATTTTGGACAACAATTTTCTTTAAGGGCAAGTTTGGATCCCTCAATTTTTCAATATTGGGAAATGTCAATTTTGATATTGAGATTTATTGGAATTGAGATTTATTGGAAATGTCAATTACCTGTTTGGATCGCATCAAGTAAAAATCAAGAAAATGCAAATTCCCTTCTAGGATTGTCTCGAATATTTTTTTCTTGGAAATGCTAATTCTCTCTCTCTCAAAATTTGAGATAGTTTTTCTCTCTAAAATTTTAATATACCCTCTTTTAAAAACTTAAAATTTGAAATAGTTTCTCTCTCTAAAACTTAAAATTTGAGATAGTTTGTCTCTAAAATTTTTGAGATAGGTTCTCTCTCTAAACTATTTCAAGTAGTTTGTCTCTCTAAAATATGATATAGTTTCTCTCTTTAAAATTTTTAGGTACTTTCTTCATCTAAAATGAATTTTTGAGATAGTTTATTTCAAAAAATTTAAAGATGGTTTATGTCTTTAAGAAACTTTAGGTACTGTGTCACTCTAAAATTTGATATAGTTACTCTTTCTAAAATTTTAAGATGCTTTTTTCTCTAAACTTTAAATTTAAGATGATTTCTCTTTCGAATTTTTTTGGGAAGTTTCTTGTTAAAATTTTAATATACTGTTTCTTTCTAAAAATTTTAGGTACTTTCTCTATCTAAAATTTGATATAGTTTCTCTAAAGTTTTAAGATAAAATTTGATATGGTTTCTCTCTCTAAAATTTTCAAATAGTTTATCTCCTACAATTTTAATGGCAAAATATCATATTATCTTTTATTTTTAACTTTAATATCTCATCACACTCAAGAAATGAAAATATTAGTTGTAAGCCATTGGACTCCATCTTTTCTATCTTCTAACCCTTTAAACCTGTATTATTGACTTCAACAACTTATGAAATGACTCTATCTTTCTCTCTCTAAAATTCATTCTCTCTAATCGTCTCTGTCTTTAAAAACTCTATCTCTCTCTACAACCCAAACTCATCTCTCTCTCTCATCATCGTGTATCTTTTTCTCAAAACTCTATCTCTCTCCTTAAAACTCAAACTCAATCTCTCTTTAAAACTTAAACTCTATCTCTCTCTCACATATAAGAATGTGTATTCATGTTCAAGCTCAAGTTAAACTGCTTGGCTGGTAAACTCATCGAAAAGCGAAGAGAGAGATGGAGTTTTAGAGAAAGAGAGAGATGGAGTTTAAATAGGATGTCATTTTAGTATTTGTTTGGATCAAAATTTATAGTCAAAGAGGACTAAGGTGTTGTAAGATAAAAAGAAATAGATTTTTTCGTTTTCAAATAATATTTTCAATTCTTAAGTCTCATGAGATGTGAAAGTTGAACATAGAGGATAAGGAAATATTTTCTCAATTTTAATATACTTTATCTCTTTAAAACTAAAAATTTGAGAGTTTCTCTATCTAAAATTTTAAAATAGTTTCTCTCTAAATATTTCAAGTACTTTCTCTATTTAAAATTTGATGTAGTTTCTCTCTTCAAAGTTTTAAGATATTTTCTCTCTCTAAAGCTTCAAATTTGAGATAGTTTTTCTTTCTAAAAATTTTCTGATAGTTTCTCTATCTAAAATTTGATATAGTTTCTCTCTCTAAATGTTTTGAGATATTTCTCTCTTAAAATTTTAAGTAGTTTTTCTCTCTAAAATTTTAAAATACTTTCTCTCTAAAATTTAAGATTTGAGATGGTTTCACTTTCTAAAATTTTAATATAGTCTCTCTTAAAACTTTAATTTGATTTATTTTATCTTTCCAAAAATTTGAGATAGTTTATCTCTCTAAAAAAGTTTGTATATTTTCTCTCTCAATATTTTTTTCATATATTTTATCTCTCTAAAATTTGATGTAGTTTCTCTATCTAAAATTTTAATATGTTTTCTTTCTTTAAAATTTGATATAGTTTTACTCTCTAAAATTTTAATATTTTTTTTTGTTCTTCAGCAGTAAAATGGCTCATTTCCTTGATCCACCTATATTGGTGGAATTGAGATTTTTAAAATTTAAGCTTAATCCAACGAAAATGTCAATTTTAAGCGAACCAAAGGTCCAGCTTTTCCAAGAAAAGCGAGTCATGGAAATCTAAATCCAATGAGCCAAACGGGTCCCTAAAGAGTAAAAAAGATAAAAAGTATTCCCAACTGGTGTTATGAAAACCTAACTAGCCACTTAATTGAGAAGTGTCTGGTCTAATTCCATTAATGTATGTTTTTTCAAGATCTGATCGTTTATTGAACCGATCCAGTTTGGGGTCTAGTGAGGAATGTGACCACTTGGAAGCAATTATTCAGTTCGATTATGATAACATTGTTTGTAACTGTCATGGGGTTAGCAAATTAGTTATGAGTTATGGTGAAACTTTGTATGGACAGAGCTATCTTTTCTAACAGTATTGATAGAAGCCCCGAACTCCTAAGTTGGTTGGGACTGCAGTCTGTGCTCTTAACAGTCTGACTATGACTCTGGACTCTCCATATGTGGAACCAAAAGATCTCCATTTTTAACGGCCTAAAATCTTCATCATCGTCCACATCATCATTATCAATATAATTTAGAATTGATCACAACATGAATCAAAATACGCTTGCAAAATTTTGGGTCCTAAATCCTCCTAAAGTGGTTTTTAAGGCTACCATATTGCGTAACCACATCCATAGACTGTTTTTCCAGTAGTTATTACCACATTCACTTCTGTGAGATAATGGGGATTCAAAGTAACTTCTTTTGAGTATTTTATTGTGTTTCAGAATGCAGAGGACAACACATATGAACCAGGGGTTGATCCCTCATTGGAGTTTCTTGTGACTTCTAATGATATTACTAAGACTGGAGCTTCTTCTACTTTGCTTGTTTTCAATAATGAGAAAGGTTTTTCCAGAAAGAATATAGAGTCAATTTGTAGTGTGGGGAGATCCACCAAGGCAGGAAACAGGCAGAGTGGCTACATCGGAGAAAAAGGTGTGCATATCCATCTTGATTTTCCATTTTAGCCTTCTATATTTGTTGTCTATATGATTTAACCATAACATTGTAATACTTTTGTACTTGCTACTTTATTCTCCTTAAACTGTTGTTTCTGGCTTGTCCAATCAAGATTCTAATGTTGTCTAATTAACTATGGAATACCATTATGTGTTACTAGTGATTATTGGTACTTGGGGCTGCTGAAGGTTAGCAGAATACCCTAGGCTAAACCATAGGATAAAAAGACATTGCATGTGAATTTGCACTAGGCTAAGAATGGATGAAACTTATTTAACTGTAGGATACCACCGTAAATTTAAGACCTCATTTGTAATTTAATTACATTGTCCTTTGATTTTTTCAAATATACTTGGAGGCAGTACGGTTGCGGATGATTTATTAAAAAGCATATATTTGTCTTTGCCCTAGTGGGCATCCACTATCTATTAAGGGTTAGATTGTTGATATTGTGTATAACCTTGATATGATGGCATGCATGGCATTTACTCTTAACTCACATGAGATAAACTTATTTGTGACCAATATCTACTCTTACTCTGAAGAGTAACCTGGTTATTGTGTGCATAACCTCGATAAGGTTTAACCCTACCACCTTTGAGAGAATTTCATCATTCACCTTTGGTAGAATTCCTACATTTCCCTTCCATCCTTTTCTTTAAATGCTATCCATTTTCCTGATGATCTCAATTTTGTCACTTTTCTTTGAAGCCTAGTCCAGATGTGCACACACAATTTTTAATTTTCAAGCACATCACAAAATTATGGAACTGCCCAGGCTTTATGAATTGGAATTGCAAGCATGCCCATGGTTTCTTATTTCTCTGATAATTAAGCTCACATTTCATAAATCTCTTGTATAGTACCCAAGTTGCTTCATTTACCCAACTCTCTGCATTTGACCTAATTTGTGTGAGCTGACATCGATTAAAAATGATTGGATTCTGCAGCTATCCCTCTGAATTAGTCTAAAGTTCTTTCTTTTCCTGCTACAATAGATGATATTGATGGTATTTTTGGATTAATACTGTATTCTATCCGTTCCCATATTATGGTGTCCTAAATTGTGATGAAACTTTTGACCATTGGTTTCATGTTTTTCAGCTTTCATATTATTCAGCGTTTTTTTAATTAAACATGAAATTGTAATGCTAGCATCTTTAAATATTCTGTTTTTGCGTCTAGTATCAGCCTATATATGAACCATTCCTGATCACTTGCATTGAGAGAGCTATTCTATTCTCTTTTTAAGTTTTGTACAATTTAACAAAACAAAAAGCGATTTGGTTTTCCAGGTATTGGATTCAAGAGTGTATTTCTTGTATCCAGCCAGGCCTACATCTTCAGCAATGGATATCAGATAAGTTTCAATGAGGAGCCTAACCCTGATTGCAAAATTGGATATATAGTACCTGAATGGGTTGAAGAAAAGCCAACACTTTCTGATGTGCATGAACTCTATGGTTCTGATAAGCTTCTCCCTACAACAACTATAATCCTTCCTCTAAAGCCAGACAAAGTAGCAGCTGTGAAGAATCAACTCTCGATTGTCCACCCCGAACTCCTCCTGTTCCTTTCAAAGATTAAGCAACTCTCTGTTCGTGAGCACAATGCTGATCCAAAGCTCAATACTGTGAGCTCAATCTCTATTTCTAGTGAAACTTCTCTTCAAAAGAGGAAGAACATCAATGCAGAGTGTTATGCTCTTCACCTCTCTGTTCAAGAAAATGGAGTTCTAAATGAGTGCAGGTACCATATCTGGAGGCAGAGGTTTCCTGTTAAACCAGAGTGCAAGGTGGAGAGGAGGATGGATATTGAAGAATGGGTCATCTCATTGGCTTTTCCATTTGGAAAGCGCATAAACAGAGGGAGCTCTTCTGCTGGTATTTATGCCTTTCTACCTACTGAGATGGTCACGAATCTCCCCTTCATAATTCAGGCAGATTTCATACTCCCATCTTCAAGGGAATCCATAGTCTGGGAAAATAAGTGGAACAAAGGGATCTTGGATTGTGTTCCAACTTCTTTCTTCGATGCTTTCTATTCTTATCTGAAATCAAATGAAGCGGCTCCGCCCTCTTCTCTCTCTACCATGTTTAAGTTCTTACCTGTTAAAGAATCACCCTTTTCAGAGCTGAACAATGTAAGAGATTCTATAAGAAAGAAAGTGATTTCAGAAGAGATTTTGCCTTGTGAATCATTTTCTGAGCAACAATTCTTTTGCAAGCCCAATGAAGCAGGCAGGCTTTTGCCTGTGTTTTGGGATATTCTGTTCAAGGCCCAAGAGAATGGAGTGTGCTTACAGAGTGTGATGTCCCATGGTATGTATGTGATTAGTTCTGCTTTTGATCAAGGGAAATTTGATGACATTCTTGAATTTTTGGGAGTTGGCTTCATGAAGTATGATTGGTACGGGAAGTGCATTCGGAGTTCAGATATGGTGTCTGGGGTTTCGGAAGGTGTCTACATGGAGCTTCTTTGTTTTCTTGCTGACAATTGGGCTGACAAATTTGCTTATTCTAATTTTAAGAACGTGCCCATTTTGAAGTATATTGATTTGCATGGCAGGACTGCTCTATGCAATTTAGATGAATCATCTAGCTCATGGGGCAAATGTATTTATTTTTCAAGTGCTGTAGAAGCACCTTGGCTTATAAAATGGAATCAAGAATTTGGTGGTGCAGCAGGTTGTTATTTGATGCCTGAAGTTACACAGACAACCTTGAGGGGCTTTCAGAGATCAGATACTTTGTTGCGATGGTTGCGCCAATATGCAAATGTTGATAATATGTCAACATACAAATTTGCTTTTGAAATGCTACAAAAGATGCATAAAGAAAGGAAAATTGCTTTATCTTTTGCTCACTTCCTGTATCATTCTTTCTCGAAGAATTTCCTCCATGGGTCGGAGGTTGTTCGTCTCTGCCAATCTATGCCACTTGTCGATAATTATGGGTCTGTAACCACCAGCAGGAACGGGATACTTGTCCCTTCAGCTGGTAGTAAGTGGGCTAAACTAATGGTGTCAAACCCTTGGAGAGGAGAGGGATACATAGAACTAAGTGAGGATTACATCCGATCAGGTTCTTTTGGAGGCATTTACACTTCCGAGAATCAGCTCTTGGAGTTTGTTAAAACCTGTTTCAATGCTGTCGACATTCCTGAATTACGTCCCCCGAATGCTAAACTACCCACTTCTTCATCTCCATTGATGAAGGAGAATGCTCTTTTACTGTTGGAGTGGATAAGAAACCTACAAAGGAAGGGAATCTCAATACCAGAGAGGTTTTTGACAGGTATAAGGGAAGGGAGTTGGCTGAAGACCTCTTTGTCTTTTAAGGCTCCAAAAGAGTCCTTCCTTTCTAGTTCTGAGTGGGGGAATCTTCTTCAGATGGGTAATGTGCTTGTTGATATTCCCTTAATTGATGAAAATTTTTATGACTACCGTATCAGTTCTTACAAGGGGGAGCTAAGTGCCATTGGTGTGATGGTTGAGTATGGGGAAGCTTGTCGTTTCATAGCAAACCGTCTCATGTCACTTTCTGACTCCTCCACTCTAACAAGAAGCCACGTATTTTCGATGCTGGGTTTCATAAGGTATTTGGGGGTGAATTACAATTTGCCTGACGAATTTATGGGAAGGGTTAGAGAGGGAAAATGGTTAAAAACGTCTTCTGGTTACAGGCTCCCAGTTGGTTCTGTGCTATCAGATCCCAAATGGGAATCATTTTCTCAGATCAGTAAACTGCCACTCATTGATGAAGTCTACTATGGGGAGGAAATTCGTCGATATAAGAGTGAACTCAGATCATTGGGAGTGGTTGTTGGGTTTAACCAGGAGTATCAGCTTGTTATGGATAATCTATGCTTGCCTGCTTTCTTGATTACCTTGACAAGAGATAGTGTCCTTTCCATTCTTGAATGCATCAGGAATTCAAGATCATCAGATGCATTGTCAAGAAAACTCAGAGGTCAACAGTGGTTAAGAACTACACATGGCTTTATGGCCCCTCACGAATCTTTTCTATATGATTCAACGTGGGGTTGTCTCAATGAGATTGTTGATGGAGTCGCATTGATTGAAGAACACTTCTATGGGAGTGACCTTTGCTATTACAAAGAAGAGCTGGGACAGCTAGGGGTCATAACCAGCTTAGAGCATGCCTCCAAACAAATTGCACTCCGTTTCAAGTCGCATTTGTCTTCTTTGGGTGGTATATCAAAAGACAATGCACTTTCCCTCCTAAAGTTCTTGAGATATTGCAAGGAGTGCCTGCTACAAAATCCTCAAGTGGAGCTTATGAACTGCATCGTTGAACAGAAATGGGTGAAAACTACATGTGGCTATAGGACCCCCCGACAAGCTATTCTGTTTTCTCCACAGTGGGACTTCATATCTAAGCTTGCCGTTCTTCCATTTATTGATGACAGCCATTATGGAAATTGTATGTCTTCTTACAGAGAGGAGCTGAAAGATATGGGGGCTGTGGTTGAATTTGAAAGGGGTGCACGCTTTGTGGCCAAGAGTCTTAAACTGCCGAAAGATCCCACTACATTGGCACCAGCTCATGTGTTTTCACTGCTACATTGCATCAGATTGTTATTGAAAGAATTTCAACCCTCCTTGCCAGAGGAGTTTATGAGAGCTCTTGGCGAAGAAAAATGGCTGAAGACATACATGGGTTACAAATCTCCAAATGGGTGTTTACTCTATGATTCACTCTGGGAACCTCTCCTTCAACCAGAGGATGGGCCATTCATTGATGAAGCCTTTTATGGCAGTCAAATTGTGTCATTTAAGGAAGAGCTAAGAAGGATAGGGGTGAATATTGATCCTACAGTGGGATGTTCTTTAGTTGTGAACCACCTTAAAAGTCACTCTGAGAACCCGGCTATTGTTAGAATATACAAGTACTTGCACAAGTTCAATTGGAGTTCGGAAGAGGAATCAACTTCTTGGATTTGGATCCCAAATGGAGACAGCAATGGAGAGTGGGTGAAACCTGCAAAATGTGCGCTTCATGATAAGGACAATCTTTTTGGGTCGAGGTTTCATGTGTTGGATAAGCTTTATGAGAAGAATTTGCTTTCTTTCTTCTCTCTTGCCTTTGGAGTGGTTACAAATCCTAAAATTGAGGACTATTGTGAGCTTTGGAAGACTTGGGAAGATGAAGATCACTTATTGACACTTGGCGAGTGCTCTTGCTTTTGGGCTTCCATTGTTAGGCATTGGAATTTAAGGACGGAAAAGCTTATTTCAAATTCCATTATGAAGCTACCCAAGAGTACGGACTTGGGTAGCATTAAGTTATGTGATAAGAGAGAAGTCTTCATCCCAGATGACCTTCAACTGAAGGATCTCTTTAGTGAAACCCCTTCGGGATCAGTGATTGTTTGGTATCCTCAATTCAGCATGCCTTCTATTCCTCTCACTAAATTGTTTGAAATTTATTCAATAATTGGCGTTAAAGCCATCTCTAAGTCAGTGCGGAAGGACGAATCTTCCATGTCTTGTGGTACTGAATTTCGCAAGGCTGTTGGGTTTATTAGAAAGGGCCTTATCCGAATGGTTTTGGGGTATTTAGCTAATCCTTCTCTTGTAATTGCACCAGAAGATAGACATCAGATGGCAAAATCTCTTCTTCAGCTGACTGTTTTCGAGATGGATGAACCGATAACAGTGTTTTGCTTTCTACCAATCTCTGCCGATAAGAGTTTGAGTGTTCAATCGACCAGGATGGTGAGGTGGGAAAAGGACAGTTCGAGGCTATTGGTTCAGTTATGGAAAAAAGAAGATCAGAAATCCAACATAGAATTTGCAACTTATTTTGCCGAAGCAGTATCAAAGGGCTTGCTTTGGGACAAAACTGAATTGGTTGATGATCTCCTAGAGCTGATTAAAGTGGGATTCTTACTCCAGTATGACGTAAATGCAGTTGATTTCTTGCTGAAAACTAAGAATTTGCAGCTCTTTGAGGAAGATGAGCAGTTCCTTTCATCTGCATTCCCCTCTGATTAGTTCTTGGTCTATGTTTCGGGTTTCATTTTACTTGGTATGTTGCTTTTCTTTGGGAGTTTTTTTTTGAAGGTCCTTAAACTGTTTTGATGAGTTCAAAGAAGCAAAGAGCAATGGGCAGGTTTTAAGCTTTTCTCTCTGTTAAATGGAATGTAAATAAGGTAATGTTGACTTGGGCTATTAAAGTGTGTACGATCTTGTGGCTTCTCTGTGTATGCATGTCTTGTTGTTCTAAAGAGTAACTATTGAAGCTTATTTACTATTTCCATATCTGGATGGTTCTCTTTGTAGTTTGAATTACATCAGTTTATAAGTGACTATTGTTGCTTATATCACATAAGTTATTGGGATAACCAACAATCACGAAAAATTACATGTCATCAAATTGATTTCTAGAAACAGATTGATTATGACCACTTATTATGGTGCTTACATGTTTGTGGGTTTTAAAATTATTGTTTGGTTTCAAAACTTACTAGTATTTTCGAATATGGAGTGTGTACTTTTAGTGGTTGTTTGACCTTGGCCCAGCCATCTCCGCAGAGGTGGGTGGGGTGTGTCTTGATTTCTCACAGCTGGGGGTTATGTCAAACAACTCAGTGTAGACATTGTAGAGGAGCCCTCTTAAGCATAATTTTTTTGGCTTATTATTAAGACAAAAGCCTTAAAAGACTTTTCTTTTAAGAAATGAAACCTAATAAGATTTTATTTTTTAGAGAGGGATAAATCGATCGATTTACCTCTAATTTAAAAACGAAATATTAAAGCTTCTCATCTCTCGCTTTTTTCCCATAGTTTCTTCCCCCTTGCACATCTTCTATTTGAAAACCCAACAAATTCTTTTTTTCTATCACATTCTCTCTCTAAAAAGCACGAGAAGAGGCAAGAATGGTGTTGGGGTCGTGGTGGTAGTATCACTTGTGCCCCAACTAAGCTCTAGGCTTCGATTCTCTTCTAACCTATTAAATACCCCTTACAATTTAAAAAATATGAATTACCCAAAAAAAAAAAAATGTAAAAATGAGATTGAGTTTGTAGAGAAAAAAATATGAGAGGAGGCAAGAATGTATTTGGGGTTTTAGAGAAAGAATGTGATTAGAGGCGAAAAGGAGATTAAATTTCTGGAGAATATGAGACACGACAAGATTTTAGGTTGGGGTATGATAGTGGGGGTTTAAAACCTGTGAAAAGAGTTTCCATTTTCTCTAACTAGATTAGACAAATTTTTTATGTCTTTTATTTCATAACCTAATTAGGAAAGATTTCTATACTTTCTCTACAACATAGAAGATCTATGCTTTTCCTACCATTTAGCCGTCTAATTTTAATCAAGAGAACCATTCACCGTTTGATTTAGATCCGACGTCTCAAAGTATTTTATTTTTAGTTTTTTTTTATACAAATTTTATGAATATGAAATTTAGTACATGTCATCTTTTCATTGAGGTGCACCTATAAAAAATATTTAAAATAATTTTTCGATAAAATATGTTGACCAAAATACATCTCGAAACTTTCAAGGGTATTTTGGCTATTTTATTTATTAAAAATATTTTTTTTATATTTTTTGCTAGTACGAGTTTAATAGAGGATTGGGCGTCCCAAATTCGGTGTTAAAATAGTTTATAAAAAAAATTTAAAATAAAATAGTGTAGAGACGTGACATTGTGATTGAGGTAATCTTATTCCTCCATTCAGATTGGACGGTTGGATAAAGAGAAGTATATAAGTTTTACGTTGTAGGGGAAGCATAGAAAACTTGCCTTTGGTTCTTTACTTATAGTAGAAGGTTATAATAAGGCCAAAGCTTTATTTAGGGGGAAAAAAAGAAAGAAGTAAAGCCCTACCTTCGAGCTCATAAAAAAATATAGTGTTTTGGCATCGGAAAGCCTTCAAAGTTCAAATCAATTAAGATTTCAAGCCTTAAAAATAACATATATTGTAATGTATTATTTAGAAACTCCATCTTCTAAATGTTCATAAATCTATAAAATCTATACCATTATTTGAGCAGCAAGTTTCATAATAAGTGGGAGAAACAAATTTTAGAGCCATCTTTAGTGTTTCGTATGCCCGTAGTGATTTCGAACAAGATTTTGAGGTGAGTCTTTACTTAAACTTTTTTTTTTTTAATATCTTTCATAAGGCCTAGGTGTCATAGAAATTGCATGCTTTGTCCATTGGTGTCAAACCCAAGCTGGTCATGGGCTTTGTTTGGTGGGAATCTCTCATGTCGCTTTGATGAGATGTCGCACTGGAACATGTACAAATATAAAAGGACCTACAAGTTTTTTAAAAAAATATCGATTTAGATCAGAATTCCATTTTAAAAATCTACTCTCATTAAATATCGAGAATCGGTTAGTTCTCCCCATGAGATGGTGGCTTCTATTAAAGAACTAGCTAGAATCATGCTCACTTTTTTTTTCTATTATTTTATTTTAAATATTTTTTAATTTTTAATGACCAATTCAAGAAAAACGTCAAACCGGATCGTATATCTAGATAAACAATCCGAGTCAACCAACCGTTTCTTAAAACTCTCTATACAAACTTGTGCTACTAAGTAAAAATTTAACATTCCAAAAAGAAAAAAAAAGGGTGCGATTTAAGGTTGCAGCTATAAATAATCGAATTAAAGCGTACCTCTAAAATTTATCATAACATGTAATTTTGGTGTAAATTTTTTTAGAATTATTTAAAAATTTATTTTTATATTTAATTATAAAATTTAAAAAATAACTAAAATCAAATAGATCTATAAATATATGAAAATCTTTAAAATAAAATATTTGAATAATGTGTTGCAAAATCTTTAAAATAAACTCTCTGAATAATTATTGCAAGATATATTATTTTTAAAAAATAAAATCTTTTTTTTTAATTCGTATTAAGTAGAGATAATAATAATAATAAACACCTCACTTTTTTTTGGTAAAGCCCAAACGCATAAGGGTAATATAGTCTTTTGGCCGCTGAAAGGAGTAGGGAGGAATCGTTTGGCAACATAAGTAATGTGCCTGGCGCTCACCTGCAATCAGAGAACAAAAGAAAAGCCCTAGAGAGAGAGAGAGAGAGAGAGAGATATGGCGTTTGTGATGGAGTTTGCTCGGAATCTGATATTGAGGAGCATGGAGGATCCAAAGGAGAGAGACAGGAGGACGAGGGAGCACATTTATGAGATGAAGGAGAAGTGTAAGAAGACAAAGGAGATGTGGAGTTTGCCCCTGAGACCCTATGGCTTCTGGACCTTCGACCGCCACAACGCTCAGCTCACATGGGACGCTCAGATCAGTCAGGTTCCAGGACGCAGGGACCCTTACGATGATCTCTTAGCCGACAGCAATTGATTCTCTCTCTGTGTCTGTAAGTTCAATTTCTCTCTCTAGGTTTCTCTCTCAATTGACCCATGAATCTGTATTTATTGTATATTCTCTCTCTCGATTTACGCATGCATCTGTTTGTTTTGATTCTTTCTCTATCTCTTCTCTCTCTCTCTCTCTAGCTGTAAGCCTCTTTCTCTCTAATTCAATTGACCCATCGATCAATATCCAAACTCTCCCTTCTCTATATCCTTAATTTCAAGCACCCTCTCTTTCTCTCGACCCACTCTCCCTTCTCTATGTCAAGCTCTCTCTCGCTTATATGCAATTTTTCTGACACTTTTTTCTTTTTTTTTGTGATTCTCTTATCTCACTTTCTTCCTACAACCATTTTCTGATTCCATTGCCCCGTTTCTCTCTTAGCTTGAATCCTCTGTGCTATTTTTTGATTATCTGATGTTTTTTGTCAGTTGTCCCATGAAAAATTGTTCTTTTTCTTTTTTAATCAGATAACTATACGTTATAACATTGCTTTTGATTGTAATAGAGATAAACAATTGTATTTGCTCTATCCCTTATTCCAAATATGGCTGACAAATAGGTCTCTTATCTCTTTTTTATTTTGAATTTTTTAATCCATTGTTAATGATGATTGTTAGTTGTCCTTGTGTGATATAAGTGGGGCTTTTTAAATCAATTCCTAATATCAGAACTTTCTCATAAAGGATGGATTCTATCCCAATCTTGATGTTAACCCTTATGAGTATAGCAGTAAAAATGTTGAAAGAAAACTAAAGATTGGAGAAACATAATCTGATTTTGTGAATCCATATTCAGTATAGAAAATCTGGATTAGTTAATGTAATTAATGGATTCTATGTTCTTCTTTTAAGCAAATATTTTGTTAAAGAAGTGATTGCTACAACAGTCATAATTCCATTTTTCTACATGGCTCTGCACTACAATCTCAGAAAACTTACCAAAAGACAAAAAATTCAAGAGACTTGTTGATATCCTAGTTGTTTGGTATTGTAGGGTTTAAAATTTTTTGTCATATGGTTTTTTGAATTATCTAATCAGAAATGGAACTATTCAAAAGAAAAAAAAAAAACTCACCAGGAATAGCCCAAAGAAGAGCTTGTATGGATCATTTGTTGGGTGATCTTCTTGAGTACTTCTAATCAAAGAACTAAGAAAATGTGGGTTTTTGGTAACTTTAGTGGTAAGGATTGCAGTTTGAAGTGTTTTTCAGATAGATATGGAGCTTACTCATGAGTAGGCTGGAACAGACCAAACATGCGACTGACGTGCTCAATGGTTATTTTATTAGGAAAAATACTTTCACTCATGATTGGTAGTACATCCTAATAGGGCCAAAGAGCATGCGTTAAAGCAATTTTTTAAAGAGTAGTGCTAAATGATACTTATGCTTACATTAATTCAAATTTGACCTACAGTTTCATTTTTTTTTTTCATCAAGTTGGCATCTGGGTCTGATCTTCCATGAGGTTTCCATTTAAGGAACAAGGAGCATTAACAACCACTTGTCAAGTTCAATAGGACCTCAAAAAATTCTTGATTCTTCTGTAAACATTCCTTATAGGCCAATTAAACAACATCACCAAAGGACCAACTTGTGGCATAGTCTCTCACCGATTCGTAACTTGGTCGCCCATACCTTTCTCACTGCTCCTTTCCTTTTGAGTTTTAGGGGGTATTCTGAACCAAATTTAATTTTTATATAGCTCTTATGGAAACTAGTCTTCTCTCTCTCTAGCCTCTCTCCTGACCAGTTGGTATCTCTATACCCCACATTGATTGGAAGGACCTGAAGCTATTCAATAAGCAGCTTGAATGAAAGCCCTTCCTTACTTTCTTGGAGTCTATCTTGTTGGTTCCATTTTCTGCCACATATGCAATGAGATAAAACTCCTGAAATTTACAAGTAGATTTCTATACTTCTCTATATACGTAGTGTAAATCAGTCTTTAAAAACCCGTACTTGGTGGTTAACTTGGACCCCGCTAAGTTGACTCGCTGAGTTGAACAGTCAACTCGAAAAAAAAGTGATCAAGTTTTTCAATTCTTTTGTTAAGGGGCATAAGAAAATCAATGTAGTCTCACTTGTCACCAAGTTAAAACAATAGCGACTGCTCCAGAGTTCGCCTTTAGGTGATAAAAGAATGCGAGAACATTTATGTTCATATATATATCTACATATATACATAACTCAGGATATACATAACTCAGGAACACCCGAGTTTTTCAGTATAAAATGCGGCAACTGGTTGAGTTTAGAGTAGTCGGCAAGTTTTTCTTAGTTGAAATCAGTTTTTTATCCACTGTTCTAAATCCCTTCTTTCTTTTTTTCTCCTACTTTACAAACCTTGTTTTTTTTTTCTTGTATTGAATCTGCTTTTTGATGATAGTCATGTTGTCTATATTATCTATGCAGGAAAAAGAAAGCAGCTATAGAGCACTAGACGCGATGGAGGGAGAGCTTCTTTTTGGCTTTAGGTTTTCTAATAATCTACTCTGGTATGGAATGTGTATTGGAGTTGAGCATACGTATATTTAACTTAACATGATCTGGTTTGTCAACTTGGTGCCGTTCAATTTCGTAGACCCTATGTTTATATAGATCTGCCCCTCCATTGGTTGACTTAAACTGTGGCAAAGTGATATATGTTCCTTGTGTTATTTCAGTTGTCCATCTGTCCTCTCATGTGCTTCCTTTTATTTTGTGGATATTTTTAAATGGAAAATGATGGGTAGATAATGGAGTAAAGTGGAATTTATGCTAATGGGTATTTTTCTTTGAATGCATACTTTAATTGTGGAAATGAATAATCTTTAAGTGAGAAAAAGAAGAACGTAATGAAATTGGTGAGCTATATATGAAATTTGAAACATTCAACAGAAAACTTTTGATTATTGGGGATTCAACAGGTTACCTTAATTTATCCACCAAAACAAAGATCTCTGGTTTTTCTACATTTGGGGCAAGATGTTGAAGATTAATGTGACCTTTCTTTCATCCAAATGATTGTAAGGGCTGACAGGGAATATTAATTTTACAGTGATAAAGAGGCAAGATTTTTGTTCATACTTGAGGTCCAAGGGGTGTCTTGTGAAGGCTACGTCACGTCCTTAATGGGGTTGTCTTATTTGGAGTCCCTTATCTCTATGGAGTTTTTAAGTTGAGGAATTTGAGGTTTCATATCGTGTTGGGGTATTTGAGGTGTCATATCGTGGTAGAAAGCCTATTGGAGTTTTATTTTAGTTTGTTAGGTAGGTTTCTTTCCATTATGGAGTCCTAGAAACCCCATGGTAGGGAACTTACACAAACTTCTAGAAAGATCAATCTTCTCGAATATTATGTGCACTCTAGATTAGAAAGTTGATTATTAAAACTTTTAGTAAGTTGTTTATTTTCTTGATTGCGAGCAATTCGGCCGCCTAGGCTGGGATCTGGGCAGGCATGCCTAAGTGGGGCGCCTAGGCGGTCAAGGTGGGTGCCCACCGAGTGCCGTCCCTTAAAAATAAGGTGTGGTATTGCTTTATCTCTCTCTCTCCCCCCCTCGGGTCCATGTGCTCTCTCGACATATGAGAAGAAGAAGAAGAAGACGAATCCCAAGTGTTCGATGTGCGGTCTGTCTCTCTCATACACACACAAAGATATACATGGACCTTTATGCTTCATCTTTACACGTAAGAAGAAGAAAAAGAAGAAGAAGATCTCTAAATGTTTGATGCGAAATCTCTCTCTCCATATCCCCCAAGTACTGGAGAATTCTCTCTCTCTCAAATGCAGATCTAAAAGGGCACAAAAAAAAAAAAAAAAAAAAAAATGGTATTTAAGAATTTCATGTGAGACTTCACATACACACAAAACAACATAGGGGTCCACTCCAACCCTCTTCGCTTAGGTGGCCCCCTTGGCACCTAGGCTGCCCAGACCCTTGGTCGCTTAGGCGGCTGCATCTGCCTTCTTGAACATTGTTTGCATGTTAATACTCCAGAAAATTAGAAAGTTTAGGATGGTGAAATAGCTCGACTCCCAACTCCCAAGCGAAATCCAATAAAGATGGATTCAAATTCTATGAATGCCATGTAATCCTATGACTAAATCCATTGATGCGAGGACACCTTTAAAGAGAAGACTCCTCATGGCGATTCTTCACCTCTAGCGTAGGATTGGGAGAATCTCACCCTGAGGGTCAGAGCAAGATCTCCTAAAGCCCTAGCTTATGGTTTGGAGGTTTTCGCTACACAATCTTGGGCCTTCTTTCCCTCTAACCCCTAATTCACACCAGTCTCACCTCTTTCCGTTCAAGCCCGATCATCGTCCTTGTTGGACCTGCAAATTCTCAGTAAGATTCACCGCCATAAAAACCTTAATTTAAACTGTTAACGTTGTCCCAAATTTACTGGACATTTCCCCTAATCCTAACTACTTGCCGACCTCAAGCATCATTCACTTGTGTTTGTATTAGAAGCCTTACTCTCTCTCGCTCTACACACGGATTATTATTATCATCATCGTCAACAACGCTTTTTTCCAACTAATTGGAGTCGGCTACAAAAATCTTAGTATGTCATTCTACTCTATTAACGGCCATACCCTCAGTGAGGTCATAAGTCCGTATATATTTTCTCATTGCTTCCAACGATGTTTTTTTGAGCATACCTTTTACCTTTTTTAAATATTTTATTTGAACTTACTTGCCTTTCCTAGCATATGATGTATTGGGTTTGCACCACAAATGGCCGGTCAACCTAAATCTAATTTAACTTATCTTATCGTCTATTGGGGTCGCACCTAAATTCCTCCGAATGTATTCATTTTGAATCCTATCCCTTCTTGTCTTGCCACTTATCCATCTCAACATCCTCCCCTCAGCTAAATGCATGATATGGGTATATTGTTTCTTTATCGTGCTGACCTCACAACTGTCCTATAGAACATTCCCTTTAGCTTCATTGGTATACAACGATCACATAAAACTCTGGTTGCAATCTCCATTTCGCCCACTCTGCTCTAATTCTATATGTAACATCTACCTTAATATTTCTATTTTTCTGGACTATCAACTCAAAACATCGAAAGTATGCTTTTTTAAGTATTTTCTTGCTGTTAAATATTAACTACTTCCTCATTTCTATTCCTATTATTACTAAACTTGCATTCCATAAATTTGGTCTTTGTCCGGCTAATTTTAAAACCTTTCAGGAAAAAAGCCTGGGCTTAATTGCTTAGTGCTTGACGATTTACAACGCTATGTCCTAGACTCAAATCTTAGGGGCCCTCTCCCGAATGACTCACCCAAAAAAAAACAATTTAAAAGCCTTTAGATTCTAAAATATCTCTCCAAAGCCAATCTTTTATATATATATATATATAGAGAGAGAGAGAAAGAGAAAGTTTGTGTTTGATGACTATAAACCCTTATTCAATCCTATAACCTGAACTTATTCCCATCATAGTCAAACGCAAAACCTTAGACTCCATAACCCAACCCTCGTTTTGAAGCCTTCAATGCATGCTACACTTTGTGTTGTAGCCAACCCCATGATACCGCGTCTGATCATTCTTGGAAAATGATGAGCAGTTTCCTGATAAAGGAAAATGCTTAGAGGCATTATAGTTGGTACTTCAAGAACTGTTTTGTGAAGGTGCGACTTTCATTGGATAATCAAGTTTTATGTGTTTTCAATAAATGAACTCCATTGTGACTGGCATATAGTTATTTAGAAAGCAAGAGTTTAATAATCGTTAATAGTTGGGATATGGGTGGGTTGTGTTAGGCCGGTGGACAACATAAAATTTTGTCAAAACTTATCATGATTGCTGAACCTACAATGAATATAATAAGTTGGGATTTGGGAATTAAAATTCTTAATATAATTTCAGAATCTCTTAAAAAAATTTGCAAATTCCACAGGTAAGGTAATCATATTCCCAGGTTTCTGGCCATTTCTTTTCCTCCTATGTGAGATATTTTCAATGTTCAGGACACAATGCACAAACTCCTATATTATGATATTATTACATAAAGATAATGATACAGTGGCCAAATCTTCCTATCAGTTTCCTTGAGATTTTATCATAAAAACCTATGATGCATCTTCAGTCTTCCATTGCAACAAGAAAGAGTGAGTGTCTAATACATGCATACTCACGCACACAGGCATACACAAACAAACATGGCTCCAGGAACGTCAAATACGCTAGTCCTTTTTCGTTTTTGTTTTCTGGGGGAGGCTTGGAGCTCGCTCTCTCTTAAGCCAGGGTCCAACCAAAAAAACCTAAGCTTTGAGAGGAAGATCTTCATTCTTCTAGTGGACTTCCTCCGCTGACTCTGCACTGTCTGGTTTCTTGGGCAGGAGCTGAGGCCTGTCATGGTCGCTAGGCTTGTAACAGTAGCGAGTGCTCAGCAGATTGTTTACGAGAAGAGTGCTTCTTGCCAATGCCTGGAATTTCCTTCTCATGATTCTTTTGTTTGCTTTATCCTATCATGTATTGACCCTCAATATGTTTAGAAACCAAGAAGCTTTGCCAAATTGCAATTTTTATGATGAAAAATGTGACAGTCGTTTAAGTGCCCAAAGTTCAGGAAAAAATCCAGCCAAAGACATTTTAATGTCTTTGATATGAAATGGTTGAAAGTAGTGAAAAAAGATATAGGGACTTATGATAATGTATACTTGATCCCAATTAGTTGAGAAAATGATCCCAATTAGTTGAGAAAATGCTTTGATGACAATGACGATGATGATGATATGAAATATGTTTCAGAAAAGCATGGCAAAGCTCACTGCAGTGATGGCTAGAAAGTGACTTGTACCAAAACAAGGCACAACCTCAACCGCTCAAAAGTTGAGTCTCGCACTCTTGGTTTTAATGGACGACGACGGCAGTGGCAAGGACTATTTCTTTTTGACTCGATATCAAAATAAACCTCACTTTTCAAGTATTTTTATCCTTTTTCTAACATTTCAAATTAAAATCATGTTTAATTCGATTGGCATTCAGAAATCAAATCAATATATATGGGTGAAACACTAAATAGGTAATAATATGTTAGGTGTATTTTGATAAATTTCCCTTAAATTTAAAACAACCTAGAAATTATATTGGGATTTGGCTTTACTTTTGAGCACATATGCTCCCTCCGGTGCATAGTTTATTTCTACTCCTTTGGTTAGATGACCTACTTGGGAGATTTTTTCAATCTGAAATTTTGATAAGCTTTTTCGAATTATTAGATAATTATTTAAAAAAAAATTGAGTTTTCTAACACTTAGATCTCATTCTCTAAAAATTGGATGGTTTCTATTCAATCTTGAGGTACTTTTTTTTCAAAGTGTTTAGTGGGTACAACTAGGAAATTCTTTTTATTTATGTTAATCTATTTGAGGTGGTAAAGTAAAACTATCCTAGGTGGGGTTTAATTGGGGGAGTAAATAGACATTGTACTCTTGAGAGAGTAGAATATCTTTTGGCTTTACTACATGGGTTTGACCGGTCATTTTGCAGAAAAGAGACAGATAGAAGGAGAAGCTCACCTCCCCACAATCACGGCTTCCTTTGTCATCACCATCCTTGTTCTTGTTCCCACTCTTACCTGCAAAAACAATACCATGAGAGAATGCATTTGGAAAAGGAATAGAGATTAGGCACACATCCGAGAGAGAGAGAGAGAGAGAGAGAGAGTAAAACGAGAAAGGAGGACAGAGGACAGAGGGGGAGCAATCATGGTGTGAGAGAATCGGTAAAGCGTCCCATTGTACCCGATCCAAATCTGGGGATGGGTTCAAAAATTAGACCCGAGTCCCCAAATACTATTCAGGTCGGGCTTGGATCCAATATCATTTGTTGGGTTTGGGTCTGGGTCCGGGTCCGGATCCGCGTCCCGAGACCCCTTGCCACCCATAAAGAATAAAGAATAGACAAGGGAGAGAGAAATTAAAGTCACCGTTTTCTTTGGAATCCTGTGGTCCAGCAGAGTCATTAGAAGTATCACCGGTCTCTTTGAGAGAAGCAAAATAATATTCCCTAAAACTTGGAGAACTACGCACGTATTCCTCGTCCTCAATAACCTTGAAAGTATTCACATTAAGGCCCCTAACATTTACGTTATTGCCACTGTCCCCTCCCTCCTCTTTTTCCGGCCACTCGACCGGGAAATGGTCCCCCCTCGCCGGTATTTTACTTCCTGGCGACTCCACGACTTCCACTTTGCCCACGGGAAAAAGATTTCCGGGTGTTATCTCCGGGAAATTATTTTCCTGCTTCTTTTTCGGCGTCTCTCTCTCTTTTTTCGGCATTTCATTTACCACCTCGCTCTCCTGTTCTGGTTTCTCAGTTTCTTTAATCTCTTCTGATTTCTCTGTAGCCAATTCTTTCTCTTCAGAAACGATTGGTTCTATCTCCTCTGCGTTGTTTTCCGGCGACCCCACATTTTTTTCTGGCGAGACTTCATTCTGAATCACCTTTTCCGGCAACCCCAAGTTTTCAACCTCAATCACCTTTTCCGGGGGGAATTCGATCTGAATTTCGTCCTGTGAGTCAATGCTTTCTTGTGAAGCATGGGCTACTCTGTTTTTCCGGCAAAGATTGTGCAAAGAATCGGACGGAGAACCGGTTCCCCTGCAACCAAATAGGTCTTTTGCCGAGAGGCTTTTCGTCTTTCTCCCAACAAGAAGCCCTGAATCCGGTCGCAATTGGCTATAGGTACCTAGGGCTTCTTCATCGATCTCTGGCTTAGAGCCTGAGCAACCCATAGGTAGAGAGAGAGAGTAGAGCGAGAGAGAGAGAGGAGGGGACATGCAGAGGAGGGAGGGGTTGGATTTTGGGTTGAGGGAAAAGTCTGAGCTTTTGGGTTTTTGAGTGTTAATTTTTTGTCGGGTGGTTGGAGATCGACTGTTGTTGCAGAGGAATCGGAGTTAAAATTTGGAAAGCATTGGGTGTTCTTTTGACTTGTGGTCTCTCTCTTCTGGGTAGAGTTATATTGGCATTGGGTTCATTTGATCTCTGTGTCATCCGGATAGATTTTTTTTTCTTGGGTCGATAGGATTGACAGTTAACTGCATAAGAACCGGATCAAAATTAGTAAATGATTTCCTATTTCCCACTTTGTACATTCAAAGAACGAAGTTCTGTCATGTCATTCTCTCTCTCTTAAAGTTAGAGGATTGGAAAATCAACCTCTCTCCCATTGAAGATGACTAAATTTGGGTTTGAAATGATTGGATTCTGTTAAATCTCCTCTGTTCCCCATGGTTGAAGTGTAGGAGATCTTAAAAGTTGAAGAATGCTAATTCCGAAGTATTGTTATTTTCATGGTCGTAGCAGAAGAACCGGGTTTTGTGTTTTTTGGGTTTAAACTTAGAGAGAGAGAGAATTATTGCATGAGAATCGGGGACTTGACCTTTTCAACAGACTTGGCAGCTATTTTCTCTGCTTCTGTTGTTATTTGGTTTACTTTTCCTATTTTCATGGGGTCTTTGAAGAAATCTTTTACCGGCTCTCTCTCTCTCTAAAAAAACCATTTCCAATGTACACTGTAAAGCCTCTCCCGCTCTCACCAAAAAACCATTTCTAATGTACACTGTAGAGCCTCTCTCTCTCTGTCTCTTTTGTGGAGAGTATCGAGTTCTCCAATTTGGGGGAAAACCCAGAACTGTGGCGTTTGGATTAATAGAATTATGCAAGACATTTGGCCCACCTGCTACATCAGATCTCAATAAATAGAATCTCACCCACTAGTTAAGAACTCATGGTGACAAAGTTAATATTTTCCGAGTTTCTTAGCATCATTTAACTGAATCTGCAGAGCTTACTCCTGCTCAAAACAAAGGAAAAGACAACCCACATATGCAAAATCTATTAAAAATCACAACCAAAAAGAAAATACCGAATTCAGAGAGAGAGACCTAATGGATGCTCTTCAATATGAAATTGAGCTTTCATGGCTATAGAATTCCTCCTTTTTAGAGAGAGAGAGAGATCATGGGTATAGTTCGGTATCAAATTTTAGATTCCATGGCTATGAAATTGCTCTCTGTATTTTAACCTATCTACTTGTTCGTAAAGAAAAGAAAACGAAAGCCAGTTCGAAAGAGATTGTCCTTATCATAAAGTACACAATTCTCACTCTTAACCCTTTCTCCATCTTGGTTTCATAATGAACCCATCCCAGACTAGGAAATGTATCTTCTGACTTCCACCCACAAGAATTAAGATAGTTCTCAGAATCCGGGTTATGGCACGGAGCTGGGTATGCGAGAGCAGATGATGAAGCCAAGCAGCAACCATCTCTAGCTTCAACTTTTGCTCTGAATTCTTTCAAATCTATCCCATATGATGAGATGATAAGTCCATAGTTCTTCATTGATAAATGAGGCATCATCTTGCTCTAAGATGGATGTGCATTTGGGAAGTAATGAAGGCATCATCTCTGGTCGGAGACTCGTACCCCATACGGTTCTTGAGTCATTTCTTCTTTTTGATTGTTAGTGAAATTCTTTAGCCGAGGAGTGGCAATATGGGTCTGAATTCCACTGCCTGATTATTTCAAGAACTGAGATAGCTTGACTTCCTGTTATTTTACTTGGCTTTCGGGGCAATTGGAAATCTTCTGTTACAAACTTGAACCCATCTTAAGATAAATTACTCATGTTTATCCTTCAGTTGTAACCCCTAAGGTTCGAAGCTCATTGCTGTAATTTCTGATACCCTCACCATAACATGCTTCATCGATTATGGGAATATCAGTGATTTGAAGATCTCTTTATTCAGAATCAAGCAACCTTTTGTAGTTTAACCATATTCCTAGCCTAGCTCCTGCCGCCAACTCTTTCGGGAAAATATACTGGTTCCCCAAGTTTCTAATGCATTTCAACAATGAAAATGCCTGGTCAATGTCCACGTCGGATGAAGCCCCAAGTGACCTTAATCTTCCAGCTATGAAATGAAAAGCTTAATTCTTTCCAAATGTGGATCCAAGAAATTGTTACTTCATCTTTATAAGAAAGAATAAGATTGTCATAAAACTTTGCATAAATGATAGGAATACTACTGGGAATCGGACGGAGACCTGTAACGAGAACTAGTCTTCAACCAACATCCTTCTTTTATGCAAACTGAAGAAGTATAGCAGTTCTAGCCATCGAACTTTTGATCCAATCAATAGAAGAAAGGCGTTCTCCTTTTTAATGGAGATGAAGATAGAGGTAATGCCAAATTAGAAGCCATGGGTAACGCGAAATTAAGAGAGATATGATTGGGTACATTCAAAGCTTTCATGTGTTTCTTCAGGAAATCTAAAAGCTTCTTCTCATTTGTATTTTCACCAGAAAATTTGCTTGAATGGATATATCGCTCTCATATAACAATATATTGAAGTTTATTATCAAAGCCTCTTAACAATTTTTCTCACTTGATAACAGGCACAAGCAACCCGCGCCTTTGAATTACATTTCCATAAGCATTGAGAACTGGTGTGGATGGGCAATAATTATTAACCAGCCCCTCTGCGAGAAATTTCTCCTCAAAGGAATCATACAAGAAGTGGGTGAAGTCAATTACGATAAATACTTCAAATAATTAACAAGTCTCTTATTGAACTGATTCACAGAAATTTCCTCGACCAGTGCATACTTGTGCAACCATGTTGTCAAACTTTTCCTCTTTCATGCCTTTGCAGAGCAGTCTGAAAGGTTTCAGGCATGAAATACGATACCAGATCCACAGTTGAGCTCTATATTTCAATTTGTTAGTCAATGAGTATGCTTTTCATTTAAAGATAGGCCTATATTTAACCCCCTTAAGCTGCTGCTTCAATGCTACATACCCCTATCTTTTTGTGCTTAAAGAGCAATGGCATGAACTCCAAGTCCCATCGGTTCAGATTCAGCAAGTAATCATCAGGCGAGGCCAAGTTTCCCCGAGTTGCATGTATTTGGCAAAGAGTAGTGAGTGTTATTCCTATAATCACTATTTTTATGTTTTACTCTTTTTTTGGAAATTTTAAAGTGTCCAAAATTGTAAATCGGTTTTTTTTAAAAAAAATCCATTTTTTTTACTTTTACTTCAGGTTTTTTTTTTTTTCTTTTGAAATTTTTGCAATTTTATTTTTAGGGCCAAAAGGGGCTGTGCTAGATACAACCTAGTTCTAAGGTCTCGGCTGAGTAACTCGCCTTGTCTTGGCCAAGGCGAGCCCCGACACACTGGTCCCAATTGTCACCAATGAAGCAAAGGAGCCCAATATATATAGAGGTTAAAAATCCTCTCTCGATTATTTCTGATCCTCAATCAACCTTCATTCAAAATTACTTCATTATGAATAGTGTGTTGGTGGCACACGAGTGTGTTCATTAGAGGGTGTTAAGTCAGTTACCATGGGTGATGATAAAATTGGATATGGAGTAGGCTTATGATAGAGTTGAATGGGGTATTTTACTGAAAACAAGGAAAAAAATGGCGTTTGGTGGTAAATGTAGGAGCTGGATTGTTGGTAGCATGTCATTTGCCAATTTCTCTATTCTTATCAATGGTAGCCCCAAAGGTTTTTTCCTGGCTTCAAGAGGTTTGTGCCAAGGTGATCCGTTGTCCCTTTTTATCTTTACAGTTTATGTTGAATGTTTTAATATCTTGATCAAGAATGTGGAGAGCACAGGTAACTTTGCAGGGTTTCAGGTTGGGGTGAACGAGCTTAGTGTGTCTCATCTCTAATACGCTGACGACATATTTATATTTTTCCAATCAAATATTGATCAAGTTTCTAATGTTGCATATTTTTTAAGTTGTTGTGAGGTAGCTGTGGGTCTAAAAGTGAATTTTGATAAGACTTCTCTTATTGGTATTAACTGCATTGAGGGTTTGGTAAAGGAACTAGCTGATGCTATGGGATGTAAAGTGGGCTCTTTTTCCTTTACTTATTTGGGGATTTCGATTTCTAATGGTAGTATTACCATTTCGGTATCGGATAAAGTTTTGCGAAGAATTCAAGTTAAATTGGACTTGTGGAAACCAAAATATTTATTTTTAGGGGGAAGAGTAACGCTTTTACATTCATACTTGGCCAATTTGTCCATTTATCAAATATCAGTTATGGAGATGCATTATTCCATTGTTAAAAAAATAGATAAATTGATGAGAGATTTTTTGTGGGGTTCAGGTGAAAAGGTGAGAATAGGGTTTGCATACCTAAGAGCAAAGGTGGACTTGGCATTAGAAAAGTGTGGCTAGTCAATCAAGCTTTGCTTTGTAAATGGTGGTGGTGCAGCTTTACTCTTAGATATCATTTGTGGTATCAAATTCTATCTCATAAATATAGTATGGATAGGCATGGTTTGTGGATTGGGGGAGGTAAAGGTAACGAGAGCCGTTCTGTTTTCTGGCAAGCTATTTATCTGTGTAAACCATTGCTTCATAGAAATATTAGATGATCTGTTGGTGATGGTTGCCAGATTTCTTTTTGGCTTAAAAAATGGCTTGGTGATAGGCCATTAAAATTGGTTTTTCCATAAGTTTATGATAGAATGGTGCAGCCTTATGCCAAGGCCTCAAGAGTTATTTGAGTTTAGGGGCAATGAAGTGGTGTGGAATATTCAACTCCTCTATAATAGAATCAATGAAAATACTTTCTCTAGTTACCTTGCCCTTATGGATATGCTAAATCATGTGTTTATTCGTAGGAACATTGCACATGAAGTGGTATGGGAGATTGAATGTGATGGTCTTTTCTCGATGAACTCAGTTTATCGTCTTCTTTTCCATGATCGATTTAGGTGGTCTTGACCTCTAGTAGCTACCTTTTGGAAGTGGCCTATCCCACATAAGGTTTAGATTTTCTGCCCAAAATAAGATTCAAATTGTGAATAATCTTATTAAGAGGGGGAAGATTTTTCCGAACATTTGTCTTATGTGAAAGAAAGATGGTGAATCAAGGGCTCATTTGGTTCTGCACAGCCCTTTCGTCTCAAGGATTTAGTCTTGGTTTTTTGTTCGAATGGGGGTATCATTGGCTATGCATCAAAGTGTCTTGGGTGTGACTTCCAATCTTGCTTTTCCCCATCTTCCAAAAGCTAGTAAGGTAGTGTGACAAATTACTAAAGCTGTGATTCTTTGGGAAGTGTGAAAAGAGAAGAACAAAAGAACTTTTGAGGGTGTTTGTTTACCTTACCACAGACTTCTCAATGCTATTAAGTAGTCCATCTGGTGTTGGTTGTACGTTACTTCTAAGGGCCAGGGCATTATCGAAGTGCATGTAGCTCTAAAATTGGATAATATTTATCGTATGAACTTTGTTAAATGCCGGCCAAGATCCTTGTG